GGGTTGTCCTGTGGGTTCCACTGAAGCCTCCATGTGCAGGATCTCTTGTCCTTGTAGTTAGGTTTTTATTTTATTGATCCAGCCCGACAATCTTCGACTTTTAACTGAAGCATTTAGGCCATTTACATTCAATAAAATTACTTATATATTAGGATTTAAATCTGCCATTGTTATGCACACTTTCTATTCTGTATATTCTCTCTCTTGTCTTAAATAAACTTTTTATTGGAGCACCTGGGTGGCCCAGGCGTTAAGCGTCTGCCTTCGGCTCAGGTCATGGTCCCAGGGTCCTGGGATCGGGCCCCGCCTCGGGCTCCCTGCTCGGCGGGAAGCCTGCTTCTCCCTCTCCCGCTCCCCCTGCTTGTGTTCCCTTTCTCACTGTGTTGCTCTCTGTCAAATAAATAAACTTTTTATCATGAACAATTTTAGATTTATAAAAAAACCGTTACAGTGAAGAGGATTCCTATATACCCCACACCCAGTTTCCCCATCATTAACACCTTACATTACCATAGCACATCTGTTACAGTGAGTTAATTGCTACTGATATATTATTATTAAGTAAAGTCCATACTTCATTCAGATTTCTTTAGTTTTTAGCTAATATCTTTTTTCTGCTCCAGGCTCCCATCCCAGATGCTACGTTACATTTGATTGTCCCGTCTCCTTAGGCTCCTCTTGACTGTGACCGTTCCTCAGCCGTTCCTTGTTTCTAACGACCTTGACAGTTCTGGGGAGTACGCAGATGGGGTACGCATGGTGGTGTCCTCGTGCTTAGACGGGGGTCATGCGTTTGGGGAAGAAGACAACAGAGGTCGAATGCTGTTTTTATCACATCATCTCAAGTACGTGCTTTCAACATGATTTACCGTTGACCTTGCCCCCAGGCTGAGGTCGTGTCCCCTCTCTAAAGTCACCCCCGGCCCCCGGCCCCCGCCCCCTTTCCAGACTTTGGAAGGGAAGCCTGTGCAGCCCACACTTGAGGAGCGGGGAGTTAAGCTCTACCTCCTTTAGGCAGAATATTGACATTAGTTGTTTGGAATTTTTCCGCACACATCTGTCTTTTTTCACCCATGTTTTATTCACTTATTTGTATCAGTAGCTTCATGGGCATGTACTTTACACTTTGGATTATAATTCTATGCCCCTTCATTTGTTGGTCACGTTGTTCCAGCTTTGGCCGTTGGGAGGTCCTTCAGGGGCTCCTGTGTCCCTCATGCCATGCCCCCGTCATTGTGGGTCTTCCCTTCCTACGGGATGCTCCAGCCTCCTCTCGCACAGCTCCTGTCCCGGCATCAGCCATTCCTCCGAGGAGCCCCGGTTGCCTTCACTGGAGGATGGAGTTAGAGACCAAGGCCTGGGCACCAGGTGCGCATGACGCTGCCAACTGTCCTGAGGGTCCCCTCTCCACAGAGAGTGAGGATGGATGTGTGCTAACTCGTGCATCTAGAGATATTTCTATCTGCATCTGTATTAAGCTAAACACGAGTTCATGCTGATGTCTCCACCTCTAATCCATCAGGACATGGGTCATTCTAGCCTCATCTCGTCGCTTGTCTATAACTCCGGCTCCCACAGTGAGAACCACGCTCCCCTGGGGACCCACCATTTACTTAGTTGTTCGATTCTAGCACCGTCTATAGTGGTATCAGGATTGTTAACAAGACATCCGTGGGACACGTGTCAACCAGAGCACAGTGCTAGGTTTCCTTTGTCTTTGCTTTTACAAATTCCACTCATTTCCGAGTAGCCCGCGTCTGCATCTATGCCCCTCCTCTGTGAGGTGACTTCATACATTGATAATAGAGTTAGATCCTCTGGTTACATTCTTCCTCCCGTCCCGGGGCCCCCTGACCTCCTAGATGGCATATGTGTTTCCAGTCTGCATACCCGAGGGTTTCCTCTGCTGGAAAGTTCTATGGGTTTTGGCAAGTGCATGGTGTTGCAGATCCACCAGGGCAGGATCGCACACGATCGCTTCCCCATCCTGAAAAATCTCCTGGACTTCTTGACTTTTATTTATTTATTTATTTATTTTTGTCTTGCTTTTTGAGTCCTCACTTTTTTTTTTCCCTCTAGTTGTTTGGCAGGTATACATTGTGCTTCTGTTTGCTGGGTGGGAAAACTTCCATCCTTGGGGCGCCTGGGGGGCTCAGTCGTTAGGTGTCTGCCTTCAGCTCAGGTCATGATCCCAGGGTCCTGGGATCGAGCCCCGTGTCGGGCTCCCTGCTCCGCGGGGAGCCTGCTTCTCCCTCTCCTTCTGCCCATTCTCCACTTGGTCCTTCTGCCATCGTGCCACGTCTCGTTTGGTAGTTCCCAGTCTCTGCTGAAACTTCCAAGTTGGGTCTTTAGCTTGAAATGCTAAGCGGCCGTTTTCGTCTGTCTGTAATTCCAGCCGACGGAACTGCCGTGGGTCCATCCGTTGTCCTTCGTTCCTGCTTGGTCTCGCGGGCAGTGCCTTATCTTGTTGGTGCTTCATTCACTTTTACTGTGGTTGACGTTATGTTCCTGGACATTTCTGCTGCTTCTACCTAGCATCTGGAGACGCCAGCCATCTGGGATCGTCTTATTCCAAGTCCGAGGCTTGAGAACTTCCGGGCCACCCAGAATGGTGCTCCACTGCACAATCCGTGACTGGTTTGTTCCCAATTCATCCTTCAGGGCCCTGGACCAAGTGCTGGATCTTTACCAGCATCCCTAAACCCCCTTCCTGTCCCTTAGCTCCGGTCCTTCCAGGCTCTCCAAGCACAACTCAGCCCCTCGGCCATGTCTTCCCCCGGACAAAAGCCCCGGGTCTGAGGCAGCGTGTCGGGCCTTCCCGCCCCCTTGCACTCCCCACCTGTCTTGTTGGCCCTTTGATGCCTTTTTGGTATTTTCTGTTTTTCACCCAGCTTTTAAAACTTGTAGTGAGGGGCGCCTGGGTGGCGTCTGCCTTTGGCTCAGGTCATGACCCCAGGACCCACATCAGGCTCCCTGCTCGGCGGGGAGCCTGCTTCTCCCTCTGCTGCTCCCCCTGCTTGTGCTCACTCTCAAATAAATAAATAAAATCTTGAAAAAAAGAAGTGTAGTGGAAGTGCTAGTGTGGGACGTCCAGTCCACGTTACCCAAAGTGGGGTCTCCCACTCACGGCTCCGTCGTGTTTCACGGTGGCCCAGTCCCTAACCTTGTGCACAGGACAACCCATCACGAGACTTCCCTCAGTTCACACGAGCCGCGGGACGCGCCGGCCAGGCTTGGTCTCGGAGCTCAAGACCAAAAGCTCCTAGACTTCGCTTGCAGAAGGTCCGGATTGCAAGGCTCGCCTGTGTTTTGACCTTTTTCCCTGAGGTGAGGGAAGAACAGTCTTGCCGGTCGCATCAGAGGGAGGAAGGACTTTTCCACACTCCTCTCCGCCCGGAGTGGGGGATGGCGACTGGTGCTGCGCAGCCCTTCCCGGCTCTGAGCCCCGACTGAGCTCCACCAGCTCTCCCTTCACCTCTGCCCGCTGAACCCAACTGCCACTTCCTCCAGATCCCGCTTTATAAAAACTCCCTCGAACCAAGTTGTCGTCAGCCAGCCTCCTCTCCCCCAGAAAACAAACTCCAAGACAACGTGACAACAAAGACCACGTCATTTATTTACAAAGCCCAGTGTGGACGTCGGGGAGCGGGGGAGCCACACAGACATCCTCTCTGGATTGCTCGGGACCCTTTCCCATCTGGAGAAGATTCTGCTGCTCTCCCTTCCGCTCGCTCGGCCATGGGAACTCCGAGCAGCCGGGCTACGCAGCGGAGAGAAGAGCCTTCTCTGCGCTCCAACAGAGCGACGTCCAACTCCAGATCAAAGGCATGGCTGCCGCCCTCTCCTTTCCTTCCTCAAATAGAATTTTCTGGCCTGGAAGAAACAGTGAAGACTCCAAAGGCCAGGGACTGCAGGGGAGAGACTGCTGTACTAACCCCACAGCAAGGAGGGGAGGGGTGGGAGGGGTGCTGCTCACAGCCCTGACAGCTCTGGGAGGGGTAACCGCACTACCCTCGGGTACCGAGGGGCCTGGCTGGCTGGGCTCCGTGTATTCCCGCCCTAGACTGGCCCTTTTGCCCACTTCTCTGTGGTGGGAGAGCTCGGAACCAGTAATCAACAAAGAACCCACCCTCCTGTGTAACTCACCGCGCGTGTGCGACACCCGCCCACTGCTGAGACGGACCCCAAGCCCTTCATGTCTTTTGAGGGGGGCTCAAACCAGTGGTACCTGGGGACACCAGCAGGTCCTGGCCCCGGAGCCGGTAGGAGCCCCTGTGAGCCCCTTCCTTCAGCTCCAATTCTGTGAGCATCTCTAGGCCTTCTCGGCCAGGCCTGAGCCCGCGCTCTCCCGCCTACAACAGCTAGTAGGGCTTCCGTTCCCCAAGTGTCAATTCCAACTTCTGAGCCTTTGACTCGGGTCCTTCTCCCCCTTCCCTTCCTCTAGCAAATCATGGGGCTGGTCCGGGGCTTGTTAGTTCCTTGTACAGAGAGGGTGGTCGCCTCCCTCTTTAGACAGGGAGGACAGGCATCTCCTCTCTCGGGACATCCCAACAAAGCCTGGATGAAGGGACCAGGACACGGGGTGAGGAGGAAAAGGCAGCCTGTGCACCTGCCCCTCCCTCCGAGTGTGTGACCCCAGCTCAGGTCAGGCTGCCAGTGGGAGGAAGGGGCGGAGGGAAGGAAGAGTCCCCACAAGTAACCATACAAGCCAAGCCCCAGGCCCCCGAGGAACCACCCGCAGAGCAGATGGCAGTCCCCCTGCCAACCCCACACCACCACCGGGACGTCTGTAGGCTGCGGGAGGCGCGGCGGCGGGGCCAGGAGCTGGGGCCGGCCCACGACACTGGAAAACGGCTCGCGCAGCCCCGCTCAAGTGGGACCCGGATAGAAGACTCTGTGAGAGATGTGCAAGTAAACCCAGAATTCTCAGAGCTCCGGGGCCAGGCCCGCGGCCTTGAAGCCAGCCTGCTGTCTGGAGGGACGGGGAGAAGATGGGGGCGGCAGGCACAGAGGGAGGGGGCGGGCGGGCGGTGCGGCCGGTTAGGAGAGCTGCGAGCCCAGGAGTCTCTCGATGGCTGCGTTGACGTCCCCTCCTGTGGCAATGAGGGCCTGCAGGTTGGCCTCACGATTGATGAAGCCCATGGAGTGAAGCTGGTCCAGCTGCTGCTGGAACCTCACTTCTGGCGTCTGCACCTGGAGGGACAGGCCTTGTGAGGTGGGCGCGGGACCCCCCGCCCCGGGGCCCAGTCGAATCTGAGGTGTGCAGCTGAGGGAAGGGGAGCAGTAGTCTTCTCGCACATCCTCAGGGTCAACCAGTGGGCAGGGTGGGGTGAGCTGCCAACGGGGGCCAAGGAGGCTGCACCCCAGGTCACGAAACAACCGTGTAATAGAAGGGGGGCACGTCTTTCTGGACATTTCAAACAGATCAGCCCATGCTCCTAACACTTTCCATCAGCGCTCTGGACGTGTCCGTGGCTCTCTAGGAGCCGAATGCTCTGCGGTCAGGAAGACGCATGCTCTACACGGGCTCCAGCCCCGGCCGTGTCCACACACGGAGCCAGGGAAGAAGTCAGAGAAAGGTGAATGGCCTCGCCTGAGGTCTACCCTACTCCTCAGCCAATGCCCTGGCCTTGACTTTGTGGTCCAGGGCTCTAGTGACCCCATGCCCCAGGACACTCCTCCCCAGCCTCAGAGCCACAGGCGCTTCAGTTACCAGGCGCCCTACGAAACCAGCCCCAGGGCCGGGGCACGGTGGTTGAGGCGCACATTCCGGAGCCACACGCCGGGTCTGGGATCTCGGTTCTGTTACCGACTTACTGGCTGGGGGACTCTGAGCAAGCCACTTCACCTCTCTGCGCCTCCTTTTTCCCCCTCTTATGACAGCGATAGCAACTTGCTGACAAGGCTGTGGTGAGGCTCGGCACAAATGTGCGCTCCCACGGAGCACTCAGAGCGGTGCCTGGCAGCCAGTGGGACGGTCACTGTTCCCAGCCCCACTCCACGGCTGTAGAAACGGAACTTGGGGATGGCAGCAACCCGCCCAAGGCCAGCAAGTGGCTGCCTAGGACCTGAGGAGGGCGGGGCCGGCTGACTCCCAGCGCTCCGCTGTCTCCATTCTGCTGCTCGGGCCGCCCCCGCGCCGGCCACCCCGTGTACCTGTGAGCTCCCACCGCCGGCCAACAGCTGGACCATCTGCTGCATGAGCTGCTGCTGGGCACCGGAGGCCCCCGCTGGAGGAGACGTGGCAGGGGGTGCCGGCGAGGAGGTGGGCGCCTCGGGCGCGGCCCCGGTGTTGCTGCCTGCCGGGGGTGCCGGGGTCCGGGACATCCCAAAGGAGCCAAGGCTGCAGGCAGGAGAGACCAAGAGGTGGGAGGCAGCCTCTGATAAAGGGACGGGCGCGTGAGGTGCAGAAGAAGAGCGGAGGGAGGAGAGCAGACCCTCGGACACACAGTGGCAGCAGGGAGCGCCAGGGGAGGGGGCGGGGAGGAGGAGCCCACACCTCGTTCCCCCCCCCCCCCGGCTCCCCCTCACCTGGGTACCAGCCCAGGGGCCTCGGTCTGCAGGGTCTGCAGGCCCTGCTGGATCTGCAGCAGCGCCTGCATGGCGCGAGGGTTGGTGAGGACAGAGAGGGACTCCGGGTTCTGCATCTGGCGGGAAATAGGCACAGGAAGGCGGTGGGAGGTGGCAGGACGCAGGAGGCCACCCAAGCCTGAGGCCGGGGCTCTGCCCTGCCCTTCAACCCTCCCCACCCCCCACCGCTCCCGGGGCCTCACACACCTGCTGGAGGAAGACGGGGAGCTGAAGGCGCAGCTGCTCCTGGAGCTGGGGGTTCCCCGCAAAGAGCGGCACATTCACCATCATCTGCAGGGGGGAGGGCAGCAGGGGAGGCCTGGGCCCGCCCTCCCCAAGAATCACCCCGGCCCAGTCTCCCTTGGCACCCTCACCACTGCGGGAAGTGTGGGTCTCGGGGTCCCCCGGAGACCGACGTGGGGCAGCGGGAGGAGATGGAGCCACACTCCGGGCCACGAGCCGGGGCACCCAGCCCCACCCTGGTGTTGGTGGCAGTGTCTGCAAGTTCATGGTGCTCATTCTGAGCCACGCTGCCTTCTGGGCACTTTCCTCGTATGCACTCCCTGAGCCCGCACAACTCCGTGAGGGAGGAGCCACCGCCATGAGTGCTCACAGCAAACAAACCGAACAAACCGGGAGGCTCGGTAACGGTAACGGGCTTAGCTTGGAGGCGGCGGGCCTCAGACGCCCGCCCCGCGGTCTGGCTCGGGACTGACCTGACCGGCGCCAGTCACTGGCCCCAGCGCGCCCCCCTGGTGGCAGCTCCGTACCTGAGCAGCGAAGTCGGGATTCTGGGCCAGCGTCTGCATCATGCTGCGCATGTAGGGAGCTGAGATCACGTTCTGCATCAGCTGGGGGTTTTCAGAGATCTGCTGGAGGAGGGCCTGCATCTCTGGGCTATTGAACACCCCTGGCACAAGGAGGAAAACAACGAAACAGGAGAAAAGGGGTCCAGATGGAAACCAGCTGCTGCCCTTCCATCTCCCTGCTTGCGATGCTGAGTGGTTACGCAGTTCAGAAGGGCGGCAGTAACACGGGCCCCCGAGTACAGGGGTGTGCGTCCCTCTCCGTGCTGCGGTTGGAAACTGGGTCTCGGTCACGCCCCCCGGGCTCTTCCTGACTCAGGCTCCATGTCAGGGTTGGAAAGGGTCTGACAGAGGTCACCTAGACTCGTGGTTTGCAGACCTGTGTTAGTGGCAAGGCCCTTTCTTGCTTGCTCAAAAACCAAGATCTTGCTCAAAAACCAAGTATGCCAACGGTCTGCTTGAGCCTGGCAGGATGGCTGGAGCCCCTCCCACTCGGTCCTTCCTTCTCCTGGGGATGGTCCAAGACACCCCAGGACTGGAGTACAATTTTAAAGCCGTGGATCAGGTTCAAATCCCTGATTTTACAAATAAGGGAGCTGAAGCACACAGAGGGGAAGGGACTTTTGGATCAAGGTGCGCCCCGCCCCCCAGCCCAGGGCACAGAGAAATCAGGGCATCTACTAAAGACACCCCCAGGGTCATGTGTACGGTCATAGTCCAGATACATGGGGCATCCCCAAGGATTGTGCAGTGCATAACCCCCACTTCTGTCCATGGCAGCTCTGCACATCCCTCTTCCCCAGCCTCACACCTGCCTGCCCCAGGTGTGCCCCGAGTCCTCCCCCACACACTCCTCCCCAGTCTGACCCACTGACGATGCTGGATAGTTCCAGCAGGGCTGCAAGAGCTTAGGAGGTGGGCCTGCTTTATTCGTGAGCCATTACCCAGCCTGCTCCCAGGGACAGGAAACATAGCCCAAACCACCCCACATCCTCTGAGGCTGCAGAGCCCCCTCCGTGGCTTCAATACAGTCTCACCTGTCTTCAATATTCTGGAGCAGTGGGAGCCCCATTCAGTCCTGGGGCAGAGGGACCACCCTGGTGACCCCACTAAGCTCCTTCCACCCTAGGACATACCTGACCCCAGGCTAGCCGCATTGATCCCAAAGGGGTTCGAGACTGTCGGGTGCACCTGGCTGGTCCCCGATCCTCCGGTGCCCTCCCCCCCGGACCCGGGGGCCTGGGAGGTAGGGGGCGAGGGGCTCCAGGGGTTAGGGAGGGGCTCTCGGTTCTCAGTCCGCAGAGGCTGGGAGGATGAGCTGTCGGAGTTCCCGGCCAGGGAAGAGAAGGGATTGTTGCCAAACTGGGAGGAGGGAAAGGTTCTGGGTTAAGGACTGAAACAAAGCAGGGGTGAGGGCCAGGCCCTCTGTGTCCTCTCACCTAACAGCCTCCCCTCCCTGGCAAAGGGACAGGGGCCTGAGACCCCGGAGGGCAGCTCACAACGGGCAGCTCCCCCCTCATCCTGTAGGGTGGGAACTGGCCAGTGCTGGCCACCCAGTCACAACACCCCTCAGGTAGCTGGAAACTTCCCGCCTCCCCCGGTGGCTCTAAACATTCGGTCTCTAGTCTCCTCTGTGCCCTGTGGGACTTGACGTGCCCCGTTCCCATTGTGTAACGACGTATTTGTCTTCCTTAGCTCTCAAGGGGCAGAGACAGGGTCCCCTCTGCACCCCTCCCCTGACATTAGAATAAACGATCGTTGGCTTGGTGGGAGTCGGCTCTGTCTCAGCCCTGATCTGCCTCTAGGCTTCCCCTTTTCCAGCCATCTTGGTCCAGCACCCACCCCCCCGAACCCCCCCAGGTCCCCTAAGTGGCATTCTGTCCACCGAGGCGCACATAGCTGAGCCCCTCCGTGGAGTGCATCTCTGGCTGAGCATGCCCTCCCTCCGCTGCTTCCCCTACACGGTCTCTTCCTCCTCAGCCTCCTTCCTGCAGCTAAACGGGCCCCCTCGGCTGTGTCACCCACCTTGGGGTCTGCACCCCATTATATAGTGTGCTGCCCGAGGCAGCCCCCAAAGTTCCTCCCTCCAGATCCACCGCACCCAGGAAGGAGCTCTGTGCAGGGGTGTGCTTGCTGACGGGAGTCCACACCCTATGCCCCTGCTCAGGCTCCCTCTCCTGAGGTCCCGGGTGGCCCTCACCTAAGCAGGAGGTACCTGAGCAGCCTCAGCCGCTCCTCACCACGGGGCTTCCTGCTTACTCAAAGTGGGGCGCGGGGACCAGAGCTCACCCAGGACCCTGCAGCCCTGCACTGCGCTTCTTCTGCCTGACCTGATGCCTGCTGACCACAGGCCAGCAGGCCAGGGTCCGCACGCCACAGCCTCAGGCGCTGTCCCTGCTTCCGACATCCTGCCTGGTGACTCGCCCTGCACCCACCACCGCTGGGTTCTGGGCCCCGTTGTTTCCGGCACGCTCTCTGGACCGAACCTCTTTCTGATCTCCCTCTAGCAATGACGGCAGCCATTTATTGAGCACCTACTATGTGCCTGGCACATTTATTCTAATGTTTACAGTAGCCCTCCAATATACCAGTTCTCAAAGTGTGGTCCTGGGACCCCTGCAAGGTTTAGCACTGTTTTTGTAGTTCTGAGGTGCTATTTGCTTTTTTTCACTTTTGTTGTCTTCATCAGTGTTCAATGGCCTTTTCCAGAGGCTACGTGACATGTGACATTGCAATGGACCGAACGCAGAAGCCGAGCTGCGAGTCCAGCCGTCCTGCAGTAAAGAAGTCTGCAAACGTTAAAACAAGGCCACTCTCTGCTCAAGTTTTGTTTTAGGAAAATGAAGCTATTTTTTAAAAGAACATGCTGTTTATGTGAACATGTAGTTGATTTACTCTTATTTTAAGATGAATTAATAAACATTCCTTACGTTTCTCAGTCTTAATTTCAGATGCAGTGAATACTGATAGATCTAACCCAAAGAAACAAAAGCTCTTTGGGGTCCTCAGTAATTCTTAAGCGTCTAAGATGGTCCTGAGGCCAAAATGATCAAGAACCGCTGCTTTAATATGTCGCCTCCAGGCTGAAAACGTGGAAGCTAAGACTCAAAAAGGTGGAGCAACTCACTTAAACCCGCACCACTAAAGACAGTGGCCAAGTATCTGAATCCCAGTTTGCTGACGCCAAATCTCCCTTCCTCCAACTGTTCCAGCGGCTCCTACGGCCTAGTGTGGATCAGAATTAGCCAGAGGGCTTGTCAGAAGCCTTTCTCAGCTACTGGATTTTTTTTTTTAACCAGGTGCATGCATTACTTTAATGTATATTTTTAATTAAATACTTAAAAATAATTTAAAATAAGTAAGTTCCTTTCTTCTTTATATAACTTTTTATTAAAATAAATTCTTTAAGGGGCGCCTGGGTGGTTCAGTCGGTTAAGCATCTGCCTTCAGCTCAGGTCATGATCCCCGGGTCCTGGGATGGAGCCCCGCATCGGGCTCCCTGCTCAGTGGAAGTCTGCTTCTTCTCCCTCTGCCCCTCCTCCCTCTCGTACTCTCTCTCACTCACTCTCTCAAATAAATAAAATCTTAAAAACAAAATTCTTTAAAAAACTCATAGTTGAACCCTCTAAGCACCTTCTAAAATTTGAAAGAGCAATGCCAAGAATAACCAAGAAGATGTCGGAAAATAAGGTGGGGGGTTTACTCTACCAGGTACCCAGACTTAATTAAGACAATGTGGTATCACTGTAGGGACAGACAAACAGACCAGTGGAACCCTGTAGAGTCAGCAAGACACACACTTATTTGTGGAGATTTGCTGTAGGCCAGAGACAGCATGAGCAAGGAAATCTGTTGGGATAGCATGAACCACTCAGGATACGGCGCTTTCCTCTTCCACCAGGAAAAAGTAACATGAGACCCCACCCTCCCACCTGGGCACTGGTTTGCGGGGTGTGTTCGGTGTGTGAAAATCCATAGCGCTGTACACTTACGATATGTGTACCTTTCTGAAGCCATATTATTCTCCAATAAAACATTTTTTAAACGTTTTGAAAAAGCAAGTTAAAAATTATATGAACAGCAGGATACCACTTCTATGAGGTTTAAAAATATGCAAATCAATGCTCTAAGTTATTTATGGATACGAACACAGGCCATAAAAGAATCGAAATGGTAAATACCAACTTCAGGGTGCTGGTTCTCTCTGGAGAGGGAAAGGGGTAAAATGGGGCAGGGAATACGTGAAGGCTGCAATTCTATCTGTAACGTCTTATTTGCAAATATTAAACATGTCCAGGAAACTCTAAAAAATACTAACATTAGTTATCTCTGGGGTGGAAAAGAGGTGGCTGGGAGATGGAAATAGAAGGATTCCTTTTGTTTACTTTGCATAACTTGGGAACTTTGAAGTGTGTAAATGTATAACGTATTCAGTGTACATTAAACTTAAAAAAAGAGCCAAAAAGCACTGAAGCTCTATATACGCCAACACGTTAGGGCAACGTGGGTACAAAAAGATGCAGTATTTTTGTCTGTAATTTTTATGTGGTTGGAAGAATTTGTAAGGCACTTTCGAAAGTGCATCTTCCCAAGCCTGATTCCAGAAACTGAATCAATAAATAGCTCAAAGGAGGGGCCCAGGATTATCGACAAGCCCCCTGGGTGATGCTGATGCAGGTGATCCGTGGACCACACTTGAGACACACTGTGCTGGGGTCGGCTGTCTCACTCCAGATCTGCCCCACCACCTTTGAGCCCCTGCTGCACGAGGCTGTCAGATCCCTTGGACGCTACGCCCTACCCCACCCCCCACATCCCCAGGGAATTCTGCTGCCTTCTGCCCTACTGTCTCCCCCCCCAGGCAGAGCTGGACCATCCCTGCCTATGCCACGAGAACTGCTTCAAGCCAAGGCCCACTCTCGGAGGGCTAGATCAGTAAAGAGGAGCAGACAGCACCCCAGGCTTGCCTGGGTCTGGGGGAGGGACTCCTGAGCCCCAGCAGCCCTCCCACAGTCTGGCCCCCGGCCCCACCTGTTCCCGGGCAGCACTGAACATCGGCTCCTGGATGTCTGTGTACATGCGGCGGAGGGCGTTATACCCCCCGGGGATGCTCTCCAGGTTGCTCAGGGCCCGGTCCTGGTTCCGCATCATTTCTTGCATCATGGCTGGATTCCGAGCCAGCTCCATGGTCTGGTGGAGAAGGGAGAGACAGGAAGAACCCTGGAAACTGGGGAGTACCAAGCTTGGACAAGGGTGGGCCCTGAGGAGGGGGGTCTGCATCAGGACTAGGGGCCAGGGCCCAGGAACGCCCCACAGGGGCAGCGGGTCAGGTAAGTTGGACTTCCTTCCGCTTACGGTCACCTTGGCTCCAACCCTGCCTCCCTGTGGGCACCCAGCTCTTTGTGCTGTGGTACAGTGACCCCAGGAAGGGTGAGGGCAACCGCTCCCCTGCCTCAGGTTCAGGAGGCCCAGGTGTCGGGGAGTAAAAGGAAACTGAGCAAGAAAGGAGGCAGCAGAGGAAATCAACATCTATTGAGCACCTACTACATACAGACACCCGGCAAAGCCATGTGCACAACTGAAGTCATGGGATCCCCACAATACTTGTCCCAAGGAAGTATTTCTGTCCCTATTCTGCTGATGAGAAAATAGGCTGAGACTCCCTGGGGACACGGAGCCAGCGAGCGGTGAAGCCAGGTTTCGAGGCCAGGTGGGTCTGTCTGCCCAAGATCACACTGTGGTTCCTGGCAGATGACCACAAGTTGGGGAGGGAAGGCATTCAAGCCAGGGCAGTGCTGCCGACACCCTCTAACCCCGGCCCGAGGTTTCTGGCCCGGCCAGACCATGAGAAACGCGACCATGGGGGCTTTCTCTCTGGACCCAACAGCTCAGTGTCAGTAAGGGCCAGCCCGGGTCAGCCCCAGGGGACAAGCCCCCACGACACAGATGACCGCATAGCTCCTGCCTGTCCATGCACGACTGGGGACGCATTCCCAGTCCTTATGCCCAAGCCCGCTCTGTACTTGCGTCTCCGAAACACCTTTATGTCTAAGATGGGACCCTGACTCCTCATCCCGTGACTCCTGCCCTCACTGTTTGCCAAGGGACCTCCGCACCGCTCTGGACAGTGAAGAAAACACTTGCAGATCCTCGCGCTGAAGGAACTGATCTTCCGATGAGCCCGGCCCCGGTGCCCACAGCCCTGCTGCCCTCGTCTTTCCCTGGCCCCCAGTGCCCTGGGCCGTAAGATGCAGCTCCCAAAGACCAACACGGAACTGCCTCTGTGGGGTCTCTGTCCGCCACCGGCCCTGCCCAGCTCCAGGGCTCCCCAAGCGCCCCCCTGCCTTTGCACCTGCTGTCCCTCAGCCCTGAACGCTCTCCCCTTTCTCCTCCTCTGGGTCTCAGCTTGGGTGACACTTCCTCCAGAGGCCGCCTCTGAGGCCCAGGGCAGGGTGGGGAGCCCCTCTCTGTGTCCCTGGGGGATCATGAGACTATATGATAGCACCAACCCCACTGCATTACAACTGTGTGCCTACGAGTTCCACTTCCCTTTCCAGAAGTTCCTGGAAAGCCAGACCCATACCCCCAGAGTTCACAACATGGCTGCTGGGTGAGCAAGTACACACACAAGCCAACGCAGGACAAGGTGGCCCGGCTGGTGCCCTCCGGGTTTGTGTCCTGTCCGGCCCCACCCCAACCTTCTCTCACACCTACCTGCCTCATGAGCTCCGGGTTGTTGAGCATGTGGCTGATCTCAGGATTCCGCTCCATCAGCTGCTGCATCTGGGGGTTGGCCATGATCATGTGGCGCATCAGGTCGGGGTTAGACATCATGTCCTGGACCAGGGGATTCTCCATGATCTGGGACAGCATCTCGGGGTTGGACATCAGCTGCCTCTGCATCTGCTGCTGCAGCTCCATAAAGTTGGCAGAGCCCAGGCCCAGGCTGCCCAGGCCCAGGATGCCCCCAAAGCCAGCTGCGGGGAGGGGCCGGGGTCACGGTCGGCCACAAGCCCCTGCCCCCACCTGGCCACAGCCCCTGCGCTCAGGTCTCCATGAGGAGCCCCAGCCCTGCCCCACTGCTGGCGGAGATGGGAGCCCAGTGGACCGCGACCTCTCTGGAGGCAGAGGCTGACAGCCGGGCACAGCACAGAGAGGGTGACCAGTGGGGGCCTGCTCAATCAGCAGTAAATACTCCCCAGCTGGCTGCTGCTGGACACCCCTTGTCCCCAACTCCAACATCCTCACCCTGCATTCTCCACATCCCCAACCCCATTCCGCCCCTCCCTCTGAACGCTCATCCATGCTCCCCTCCTTGGGGAGGCCCTAGTAGACCGGCTTCCTCCCCTGCTTCGCCCAAGCACCAGTGTCTGGAACGCCACGTCCAGGGGTCCCCATCCCCATCTGACCAGAAGCAGGGACCACGTTTCTGCCTCCTCTTGGCTCTCCCCGCCTCCCTAGCCCCAGACAGGGCTGTGCCCTCCTCCCTGAGAGCTTACAGAGTATGGATGCAGTAGCACTGGGGGGTCCCTCCCCAGCCCCCGGGGAGGGACCCCCCCCACTGCTCCTCCGGCTGCCGCTGCCAGCCTCTGAAGTAGTACTGCCCGAGGTGGAGGGCTGGGCAGGGGTGGCAGGCGAAGCGGGCGTGGTGGAGGGTGCTGAGGCAGGGTCTGGAGTGGAGGGAGAAGAAGCAGTGGCGGCAGCTGGATCTGGAGCCCTGAGGACAGAGAAAGAAAGTCCTCGCTGAAGTGAACAGGAAAGGGAAGACAGGGAGTTCCTTTCGGTGCGGCTCCTGCCCTAACGTAAGCCACCTCCGAAGCCACCCTCAGGCGGGCCTGGGGGGGAAATCAGGAGGAGGGCGCAGCTAGAATCATCTGCCTTCAGGGCGCTCCGGGAGAGGTAGGCGAGGTTCCTTTCCCCTGCAGGGGAGACGGTAGGGCTGCCTGGCAATCCCTCTGAGAGCCACCTTCCTGGGTGTGGCGTGGCCCTCCGGGGACAGGTGAAGGGCAGGTAGAAAGCAAGGGCCAGAGGGGAAGGCAGGCCCAGTCAGCAGCTGGACCTGCTCCTCTCCTGGACTTACTTCTGAGGGGTCTTGATGACCAGATGGACAGTGAGCCCATCCTTGACCCCATGCTGGTTCAGTGTGTCTCCGTCCTTGAGGATCTTGCCGGCGAAGATCAGGACCAGCTGATCCTGCTGAGCCTTAAACCTCCTGGAGATCTCCTCTTTGAACTGTGGTCAAGAGGCAGAGGTCACTGCAGAGCCTCCCTGGGCTCCACCCACCAGGGACCCTACCTCTGGTCTGGGAAGTTCCTCTGCAGTCGAGACCCCATCCATCCAGGGGCACTGAGCAGCTCCCTCGTTAACCAAAGAGATGGACCAGTGACAGGCTCCTGTCTCGGCTCAACCCCAGGGTCTCCCATCCTAGAAGGCCTAGCCAGTTCTCCAGACTCCCTCCTCGGTCCCTCCCTCCAGCTCCCCAGGATGAGGGTGCTGCCTGGGGCTCTCTCTGTCCCAAGTCCTTCAGCAGCCTTGGACCCAGGCCTGTCTCTCTTCAGCCTTCGGTTCTAGACTCCAGGTTTCTCTGCCTTCCAGCCTTCTCGTAACAATGACAACACACAGACCCCAAATGGTCTCTAACAGCAGCAACTATTCAGGAGTTAAGAGTCTCAGTCCCGTGAGATAGATATGAATTATCATCTCCACTTTCAGGATGAGAAAACTGAGGATCAGAGCAGTAACGTGACTTGCCCTGGGCGGACTGGAATTCAGGTCTTGACACCAAAGCCCCAGTTCTTGACCCAACACGCAGCCTCTCAGCCAAAGCTGATTTCAGATTGAGCTCTGCAGGGCAGAGCATGTAAATTCTGGAATGCAGTCATTTTGTTAGGGGGGAGGGGGGCAGTGAATGCACTAAAGACTGGCTTGGGGAGAGTCAGACTCCCCAAATCCATCAGCTCTCCCCCCAAACCCAAACCAAAACAGGACACTCTCAGTAAAGAGTGCACTTGCTAAGCCAAGGCAGCTTCCAGATCTCTTCCTTCCAACCAGATGGCCTATCTTAAGCCCCGCCTATGAGAAATTCTGGAGCTGCCACAGGGGGTGGCGAACACAGGCGGTGTTCCCTCATTCACTCATCCGACACACTTTTATTGAGCACCTACTGCACACCGTAAGTCCCGGAGGGGCCGAGGGCCCACTGTAACCACCTCGATTTGAACAGGTAGGACGGATAAGGGCCGAGGGAAACGCTCGTCCAGCGCCCCGCGCCCCAGCACTCGGGGGAGCCCCCCGCCCGCTCCCCGGCGCAGCACTGAGCCCGGAGGCCGCCCGGCCGCGGCCCCTCGAATCCCCGACCGGTCCTCAGGGCGCACGCTGCCCTCAGACCCCGAGTCCTTCCCCTCCCCGGGGCAAGGTGCCCCCTCCCAGCTCTCCGCCACGCCCCCAACCCAGGCCACAAGGCGAGCCCCGGCCTCGAGTCCGCCGCACGCGCCGCGCCGGCCGGAGCCCCCTCGCAGGACGCCCCCAATCCCGCTCCTCCCCTCCCGCCCCTCCGAGAGCCCGCAAGGCCCCCACCCTCCCCGCCCGCCGCCCCACCGCCTCGGAGCCACCCCTCTCTCCGCAGACCCCTCGTCCGCCACCCTCGCCGCCCGTACTACCTCCTTGACTGAGGCTCGATCGCAGATCACAATTTCCTCCTTGTCCTTGGGGGTCTTGACGGTGACCCGAATGGGGGGCCTGGCCTCGGCCCCGCTCGGCTCCGCCATGCCGCCGCCGCCACCCGGCCGCCCGCCAGCCCGCCCCGGCCCCTCCTCCTCCTCCCCGCCCGGCCGCCCGCCCGGCCGGCTCTGCTCCGGCCTCCGCCCCTCCGCCCTCCCCTGCCCTGCCCTGCCCTCCCCTCCCCTCCCCTCCCCGCGGCCGCGCCGCCCTCCGGACAAACTGCGCCCACAGCGCCCCGGGCGGCCTGGGGGGAGCACTGCAGCCGGGGCGGCCCGGGCCTCGCGGGGCGGGGCGGCCTCCCCGAGACAGCCCGCCGCCGGTCCTGGCCCGCCGCCTCCGCTGTGACTCCCGCTCCGGGAGAGAACGCCGTGTCCCTGTCGCCGCCGTGTTGTCCCGGTTCTCGGGCCTCTCCCGAGTCGGAGGCTGACTGACCCCCACGTCTGGACGTCCACCCAAGTTCTCATCTCGAGGACTGACTATGCCCCCGGAGGTCGTGGCCTGCTCGGCGTCTACTAAGTACGGTTCCAGAGGCCTTTCTGAGCCTTGGTCTCATCTCACAGGGTCGTGCATAACGTAGGGAACTGCTCAGAAAAGTAACCAAACGTGTGCCTGACAAATACTGGGATTTCTTTTTTCAGTTTCCGGTCGTGGGTTGTCAAGCGGGCATGCTGACTCTTCGCTCCCCGGGGTGGCGGGGAGGGGAGTGGGTTGTTAGACGCCCTTCCAGTCCTGCCCCTGTCCTTTCGCTCCCGCTCTTTACCCCCCAACAACCGCGTGGTTCCCCGGGAAAGGCGAACTACAGTTCCCAGGGTGCGCCGCGAGGCCACACGGAACTACAACTCCCGGCGCCCCCCGCGGCGGGGCGGTGTTGCGTCGCCACCCCAGAGCCGGGCCGGGACCTCCGGGTCGCGCGGAGTTCCGGAGCGGCGGGGAGCTCGGGGAGGTGCCCGCGGAGGCCCGCGGGAGGCAGCTCGGGGTTGGCGCGGAAGCCCGGGCCTGGGAGCCGCAGGCATGCTGCGTCCCAAGGCTTTGACCCAGGTGCTAAGCCAGGCTAACACCGGAGGTGTCCAGAGCACGCTGTGAGTGCGGCCGGAGGAGGCGAGCCCGTGGCGCGCTGGGGAAGGGTCTCGGGGAGGGAGGAGGGCCGAGGTGCCGCGGCCGGCGGGAAGGGCCGCGCTCTGCCCAGACCCCTGCTTTCTGGAAGCGCCCCGGCGGGAGGCGGGGCGAGAGCGCAGGCGTTTTCTCGCCGCCCCGAGCACGTCCCTATCCCTTACCGCCGCTCGCCAGGCTGCTGAATAACGAGGGCTCTCTGCTGGCCTACTCCGGTTACGGGGACACGGACGCCCGGGTCACCGCGGCTATCGCCAGCAACATCTGGGCCGCCTACGACCGCAACGGGAACCAAGCGTTTAACGAAGACAATCTCAAATTCATCCTCATGGACTGCATGGTATGGAGAGGGGAGCCACTCCCTCTGTCCCCCAAGGGGATCCCCATGGGGCTACCTGGACCCCACCCTGGATGGTTGGAGGGGCAGGGACAGGATCTCCGCGGGCTACCAAGAGTTGGTCTGCTGCAGCACTGCGGTAGGCAGGACCCTATGCAGCAAGTAGTGGTGAGGAGGGGGCCCGGGACCCAGTGTCTGCCTGGGCTTCCGCCTCAGCTGGCCACGCCACTTGTCATTCGTGGAGCCCTGGGTAAGTCACTTGAGCTCTCTGAACTTCCTGACCGCATCTCCAACGTGGGAACAGTAATACCGCCCAACAGGAGTGCATGCACACAGGCTTGTCGTGAAGATGACACGAAAGGATGTAAACTGTATAGTGTTGTCACCCCGAGTCACAGGCTCACAGAAGCACAGCAGAGTCTCCAGACCCTCGGCCCGTCCCTTCAGTTTACAGAAGAGGGAGCTGCAGCCCAGAAAGGGGAAGTAGCCATTAGACTGTGAATTTCCGGGAAACAGAAAGGGTCTCACTCACCTTCGTATTTGTTCGGCCAACACATGTTTAGGTCTGTGCAGTGTTCTCAAGGATTAGGGAAAAAGCAAACAGGACCAAAACTGCCTTCCTAACTTCTCACAGAAGCTTATGGTTTTATGTGTGCTGTAAAATACGTATGTAAGTCAAAACACTAGGATGTGAGATACTGAAAATGCTATGCGAAATGGAAGTGAGGGGGTGAGGCACATATTAGTGACAGTCTCACTGAAAAGGTGACATTTCATTAAAGATCTGAAGGAAGTTGGCCAGCCATATGGCCGTCTAGGGAAAGAACATTTCTGACAGAACAGCAAGTGCAAAGGCCCTGAGGTTGATGTAGTTGGAGCAGCATGGGAATAGGGGAGGTGAGTAGGACGTGAGGCCAGAGAAGGAGGGAGTGCAGCACCTGGCTCCCAGCACACGGCAAATGCCCAGTGAAAGTTCGCTGAACCAAACTGAAAAGGCCCAAGAGTGAACTCTTCCCAAAGGATTTCCACTGTAACGGGGCTGCCTACCTCATCCTCACCCCATGCCCAGCCAAGGATGCCATTTCGGTTCGGTTGATGACTCCTGCTTGGTGCCTAACCTAGAGTTGGTGCTGTAGGGCAGCAGCTTTCCAACGTCTTGTCCACACCCCAGCCAAAGAAATAGCTGTTAAGTCAGAACCCACACCCCCCCAACTAAAACAAACATGCAGTGCACTCCGTTTCTCTTCTTTTTCATACTGACCCACCTCCTTAACTGATGGAACCCTAGAGTCAGACCTGCAATTTGAAAAACTTTACCATGGGAAAAAAGAATCATACATTAGGTTAATTGCTCCCACACTCCTTAGAGGGTCTTTGGGGTGAACCCATAATAATGATCTCAACCATTTGGACGGCCCTTTGCAATTTCAAGACTCCCTCCTGTGTACTAGCATCCTCACCAACTGGGATGAGGTAGGGGTCACAGAGAAACCAAGTTTCTGCGAGGTCGGGTTTCCCAGGGGAGGTTGGTTAGTAGGGGTCTGTGCTGACCCTGGAATCTGAGCTCAGGACCCCACGTCCGGGGCTATGGCCACAGCCCCTCATCTGAAGCCCCTGCCATGCCCAGGGCATGGAAGGAAGAAGATGATAGTCTCCCTGAAGAGGAGCCCTTGGGGAAAGAGAGGGCTAAGGGTGCCAAGCGGAACATTACATCCCACGATATCACCCCCCACCAGGAGGGCCGTGTTGCCATCACCCGGGTGGCCAATCTTCTGCTGTGTATGTATGCCAAGGAGACAGTGGGCTTCGGAATGCTCAAGGCCAAGGTGTGTATGTACCCGTTCCTCTACGACTGTGGGCCCAGCCTTTGTGCTCTTCACTGTCCACTCCCACCCCACCACCTTCTTGGAGTCTGCAGAGAGCTGACTCCCAGGAGTGGGTGGGGGCTGGGTGCTTAGCAGCGGGCGCCGGCCTGGACTGGGGATCCCTCTAGTGGCAGATCCTGTGTGGGCCTGATTTCTCCTCCCCTCTTGCAGGCCCAGGCCTTGGTGCAGTACCTGGAGGAACCCCTTACCCAAGTAGCTGCCTCATAATGAGCCTTGGCTGAAGCTGGGGTCAAAAAAGATAAATGACCATTTGGAGGGGCAGGGCCCCCTGGGGAAGCCTTTCCGGGTGGTGGGGGGAGGGTGAGACTTTGTTTTTTCCAAGAATAAACTTGAACTCCTATCTTGCGTGATGACTGATTTCTTGAACGGGAGGAGCCGAAGGAGGTGGAACAGAGGATTGCTCAGGAGAGACTCCTGAGGGCCCACCTCTCCCCTTGCCCTCTGACAGCTGGGGCGCCTCAGCGACATGACCATCTCGGCCCTGCCCCTCTGAGCGGAAGTTCAGCCACCTGATAGGCACACGTTTGGGAACGACCTCAGAGAAGCAGCAGGCTGCTGGGGGGCTGTGGGGGGTCCTATTGGACAGCGAGAATATAGGGCCCTGCAAGGCCAGTGTCGTTCAGTCCCAACTTTGGGGGGATGCCTTTTCTGCCCTTGGGGTTGGAAGAGTGTGCACTAGCCACCTACCAGGGCCACCCCACGCTCACACCCTCCAGATCTTGAAGCCCTTTGCAGGCGGTATGGCTTTACCATGAGACCTCCGATCCCGGGGAGGGGGTGTCAGAGGGCCTCTCAGGGGCATCTCCAGACCCTGCCCCGCGCTCAAGCTCCTGCCCCACCCGTCTCTCTGCTTACCCTGGGTCCTTAGCAGGTGTGGACAGGGAGCTATCAGCCCCTAGCCCAGTGCCAGAGGAAGGGACCATCCCAGGGGAGAAGTAGGTGGCGAGTTTCAGCTCCACCCAGGGTGAGGAACACTGCCCTTCCCAGGCCCTGGGCTGTCGGGAGGGGCAGACAACACCGCTCCCAGAATTCTGCACTGCAGCAAGGTGATTGGCACCCGTCAGCCCCAACCCCTCTCCCCAGCAGGCTTTCCCCTGGTGCCCCCAATCACCCTCCACCAGAGGCTCTGAAGGAAAAGCAGGAGGCCAAGCAGGTTTCTGCTCCCTGAGAGGCTGTTTCTCACTCACTGGTGGCTGCCCAGGTAGGTTCCTGGTCCCAGGAGCCCTAGCACAGTGCACTCAGTCCTCAGCTGGCTCTCTGAAGGTCCTGTGCCTGTCCCAGCTCCCCCCCCCATGTCCCCCCCCACCAGCCTGCCCACCCGCCCCGCTGCGCTGCGGGAGCACCGGCTGAGAGCAGACACTCAACCTGCCTAACCTGTCTGACGTCATCATCTCTCCACCCACCTGGGCCCCAGGTCTCCACCACCTGCTCTTCCTGTTCTCAGCTTCCGTCCTCTCGGCTTCCTTGCAGCACCCCCACCTGCCAGAGCTGAGCTTCCCAGGCCCTGCCTAGCCTCAAGTGGGCCCTCAAGCCCTCTGCCTGCGGAAGTTTCTTTACCCCCAATGAGAGGAGCAGCGGATCCAGGTCTCTGGAGAGCTGCGAGTGGAGGGTACTGAGCCAAGGCATAGACCTGTCACCTCCGCCCCGAAGCCACTTGTACCCTCCATGCAGAGCCAGGATGGGGAACAGAGCCGAGGAAGATTATAACTTTGTCTTCAAGGGTGAGTTGGGGTCCATAAAGAGACAGACCGTCAGAGCCAGAGAGCACCCCTCCTGTCTTTTTACCTGTTACCAGGACTCTCCCCGGGCCCATCATTCCTTTGGAGAAGAAAGCAAGCTGCAGGGAGTGGGGGAGGGTCTGATTACTGGGGCAAAAGTTCTGGAGCTGCCAGAGTGCTCTACTCGTGCAGATAATGATGTTGATCACTCCCCGGTGGGGCCCAAGTTAGGCCCCCCCTGCTCCATTTGTAAAGGAAGCCCACATCCCTAGGAATTGTCAAGCGCGCAGCACAAGAGATGGAGGTCAGACTTCAGAGAGGACTTCCCTCCTGAGAAGTGGGAATAACCTTGAGAGAAAAAATCCCTGTTTCTGGGTGGATGTGCAGGAAAGAAGGGAAAGGAGAGCTCTGTCCATTTTGGGGTGAAGACAGGGAAGATGTAATAGATCGAGAGCAGGGTCTTATAGAACCTGGAAGACTCTGAGGGCTGGGGCCTTGTCTGATGTCCCTTGGCAGCCCCTTTGGGCCCACATACCAGGCACAGGGTCAGCTTGGCTGATCCTGGAAGTATGCATGCATCTTTCCTGCTCCTTGCCCTCAGGCCCTGCATGGGACCCCTGTAGACCCCAGCCCCCGTGCACCCCGACCTCCACGTCTCCTTCAGGGCAGGGTGGACTGCAGAGCTGTGATTCCCGGTGCAGCCACCCCACCCCACTGCCTCTCCCCGCCTAAGCCCCACCCTCACTGGAGCTGGGACTCAGGCCACTCCGGTTGGGGAACCAGTACTCCGGGCCTCTGTCCAGGAATGGGAGGCTGGGGCGGCACTGTTATTAGTAGCTGCCCTTTCCTGAGCCCTTCTTTGTGCCAGCCCCAAGCTCATTAGTCTCCATAACGACCCCAAAACGTGTCTCTCCTTTTGCAAGCGTAGTGGTCAGGAGCCAGATCTCAGCTCTGTCGATGACCAGTTCATGCAGGTTGGGGTTTCCAGAAGCAGACACTGAGAAGCTTGGGATATAAGGTGTCTATTCTGGCGGAAGGAAGGGAGAGGGGACACAGCTATCAGCCTGGGTGATATCTCATTTACTTCTTGCAACAATCCAAAAAATAGTATTGTTATTCCCATGTTTCATGTGAAAACGCACGTCAGGGTAGGCCTGTCCAACACTCAGCCCGGTGTTCTTAACTGTCCCTCCTTGGGGACAGCTGGATCCTAACTTCTTACCCCCCTGAACTTTCCCCCCTCCCCAGATGCGTCACTGGCCAAATGTTCTCCCTGCATTTGTGTTCACGTGGCGGCTTCCTGCCCGCATGCATGCATGCATGCACACATGCACATATGCACGCATGCACACGCACAGACACACACACGCACGCATGCAGATGCACGCATGTACACGCACACACCTGCACACACGCACACACGCACGCATGCAGATGCACGCATGTACATGCACGCACACACCTGCACACACGCACACATGCACACACATGCACGCACACATACATGCACGCACATATGCACACACATGCACACACGCACACACAATGCACGCACAGACACACATGCACACTCACGCGCGCATGCACGCATACGTGCACGCACACACAAGCACACGCGCATGCACACACACGCACACACATACACACACTGAGCCTCCTCGTCCTCACAGCTCATACACAGACAGGCACAACACTGTCACATGGCCTGGTCCAGAAACATGAGCCCTCCCCAGACCTACACCCCGTCCACATCCACACACCCTGCCAACCTCGTAGCCCTCAACACCGACGCCCACAAACAGCCCGCGGATGGAACCCCATCACAAGTGTAGGCTGACCAGACCAAGAAAGCTGTTAGGCCTGCAGCCCCGACTCTTGGTCCCTCACCTGGGCAGTCTGGAAGCCTCTGCCAGGAGGCCGGGCTCCTCCCTCAGTTTCCTGGGCTCAGCTCCTGCTCCTGATGGGTGCTCCCCCCACCCCCCGAGCTCAGCCCTGTTTCTCCTCTCCTGCAGTGGTGCTGATCGGCGAGTCAGGCGTGGGGAAAACCAATCTGCTGTCCCGGTTCACGCGGAACGAGTTCAGCCATGACAGCCGCACCACCATCGGGGTTGAGTTCTCTACCCGCACGGTCATGCTGGGCACGGCCGCTGTCAAGGCTCAGATCTGGGACACAGCTGGCCTGGAGCGGTACCGAGCCATCACCTCCGCGTGAGCCTGGGGCCAGGGGGCACTGGGGAAGTTGGGGAGTGCCTCCGGAGGAGAGGCTGCGGGGCGATGTGCTCCCTGGGTGGAGCCCAGGACTCCGTGGCCCTGGTGAGCCCCAGGGGCTGTGAGCCCCACGGCCTGAGGCCAGATACAGTGGTACCAACTGCTAGGGCAACAAGCAGCAGCTGCGGGACCACTTCCCGAGCCTTTGCTATGTGTCCAGGGAGGTATGAGGCACTTTCCATTGAGCATTTGGTGTAATCCTCAAAGTACCGTACGACTAAGATGTTATAATTAATTCCTGCTTCATACAAGCACCCGAGGCTCAAGCAGGTGGCGTCAGGGGGATCCGGGATGGGGGAGGCTGTGGGATCGAGAGCGGCCCCACTTCTGCTTCGCACTTGGCATCCTTTGCCATTTCACGACACACCTGAGGGGCTGGCCCCCGAGCTACATCTTACTCAGAGGAGGCCGAGGCCACGGCAAACCCCGGCAGCAGAGGGCCAAATGTGAGGAAGGTGGTCTGTGCGTGTGATGGGGGACGGCGGCTGCCGAGGGGCAGCAAGCAGGAGTTCAGGGCTCAGCCACACACACTCTCAGCACTCTTGGACTAGTCACCGGAGCTCTTCCGAGCCTCGGCTGA